CCCTCAGCAAGATGGACTGACACAGTGGCTACAACAATGGGCTTAAAAATAACAGTTATGAGGATGGCAGAGTACCAGCAGTACTCTGTTCTACTGTATGTAGGCTCACTATGAGTCGGCATCAAATCAACAGCCCACGACAACAACAACATTAGTAAAAGCCTTTGAGTACTAACAAAATTTTTAACCCTTACATGTGTGTCCCGATTTCCTTCACTTCATGGTGTATGACGTCATCAATACAACAATCAGGTTTGAGTTCAGCCACTGCAGCATTGGAGGCTGAAAGATTTAAACGCTGAGAACTTGTCTGAAGATCAGCCTTGAAAGAAAGTAATAAGAAAAACCCAAATGAAATTAGTTAATCTATATGATGTGGGTGGGTATGGGTATAAACATAGGGGAATAAGAATGAAGAAGTAGGGATGAAGAGGGAGCAAACTTCCCTGCATAACCCTTTCTATATTAGTTCTAATAACACTTAGAAACATGTCAATGATTCACACAACCCCCACCACCCTAAATAAATAAGATCATTTAGGAAATGGGGAGAACCAAAATGGTGAAACAAAAAGTAACTAATGAACCTAGTTGTATTACAAATGAAGAACAGTAAGGACACTGTGGGAAATAAAGGGAGAAAAAGAAGTGATATAAGCAAGGTTGGAAAACAAGATCTTGATTCCAGTTAAGGCTAAAGACAAAACAGTACATAAATGTTGTACTCTGACAAGTACTTCTGTTTTTCACAGGGATACGGGTTACCGATTCTGAAGCTACATTACAGGTGCTAAATAATAATCAAAATTCAAAGAAACTGAAACATGTCGTCTATTTCTGAGTACTTATATTCTATATGCATTGCAGATAAAAAGACAGTTTAGATTCAGAAAAAGTAAATGGCTCAAAGTTGGCTAGTTAAAATAAAGCTTATAAAAAGGAGAAAGAATAGAAGATTAATCACTGAGTGATCTAAACAACACTGACTTCTGCCCTAGCCTTTTTACTGATATCAATTGATACCAGGTCACAGGGTAGTCTCTGGCCCTCCACCCAAGTGCAGCCACATTTTTGAAATTCAAACTTAGTAAACCTGGTTTACAACAGAAAAGAAAAGATTAGCAATTTTGGGTGAAGAAAAGCCACTGGCAAGATTAATTTTGGTCAGGAATTTCTTTACAGTTAATATTTGGTCTCACGGGCAAGAAAACCTTAAAATTCAAGTAAGGTGTTTGTTATTAATTTTTTCTCTTTCACATGTATATACTAGGACTAAACATAAAACAAATAGTAAGAGACAGTTTCTCAGCTTGGATTAAAAAAAAGATAGAAGTAAGGAAAAGCTAGAACAAAGCCTTTGGTGCTGGAATGGAATTGGAGGCATCAGTATGAACATAAAGGCTTTTTAAAACACAAATACAGATAGACATTACAGAAACAAACACATATGTACGTATGTGTTAATATTCAACACCAAAAGATAAATAACAATGCAAAACAATGTTAGATCTCAGAAACTAATTTGTAGACCTGATGAAGGACATTAAAGTCACCAACTAAGAAGATCTACCTTCTCTAAAGTGGCAACCCTCTCCAGCTGACAGTTATACTTTACACACTCTTTTAAATCTCTTTTTTAAATTATCACTCTCCCTAATTATCTTAGGAACTCGGATGGCATAGTGCCTAAGGTATGTGAATGCTAACCAGAAGGCTGGCAGTTTCAAAGGCACTAGCCACTCTTCAGAAGGAAGATTGCGCAATCTAATTCCATAGTTATCCTGCCTCAGAAACCTAAGGAGGGGTCACTATGAGTCGGATCTGACTGGGCCTCAGTAAGTTTGTTTTTTTGGTTTGGTTTCTTTCTGTCTCCCCTATCAGTAACAGAAAGTTTATGGAGGCAAGGACCTCTGTCTTCTCTTGCTTACCACTACAGCACAGTGCCTGGCACATAGTAGGCAATTAATAAATACTTGTTGAATACTGAATGAATGAATAAAGCTATCATAAAACTTCAAGACTATTGCCAAGAAAATTCAAAGAAAGCATTAGTTCACGGGCATAGAATTCTTTTGTTTCTTTAAAGAAAGCAAGTTAGATTTTCTACAGTTAATTCTAATCTAATTATCTCGATGCTAGACCCTTTTAAGTGGGATATTTATTAGTGTTCTCTCATTACTATATCCAGTAACAAATTAGTTGTTGTTATGTGCCGTCCAGTTGGACCCAACTCATAACGACCCCTCCTTGGGTTTCCGAGGTGGTATCACTATGGAGTAGATTGCCCAACCTTCCTTCCGAGGAGTGGCTAGTGGGTTTGAACCACCAGCCTTCTGGTTAGCAGTCAAGTGCCTTAGGCACTATGCTACCAGAGTGCCTAATAAATTAGTAGTAGCTCAAATTTATTGGCCACCTTCTACATGCAAGGCTTGTTTTAAGCATATTACTTATTTAATATCCACAATCTTGAAGTAGGTCTTAGTATTATTCTGATTTTACTGATAATGAAACCAAGTCACAACTTAGGCATGGGGTATAACCAGTAATAACTTCTCCAAAGTTCTACAACAAGTAAGTATTGAAGTTGTAATTCAAATTCTCTAACATTTTAGAAATTAGAGAGAAAAAGAAATACTCAACCTACTATCTTTCTGCCCAATATATCTTCCTATGTGCCATTTTTAAAACATTAATCTTTACTACAGTCAATGAAAAAGGGGAAGACCCTCAGCAAGATGGACTGACAGAGTGGCTGCAATGATGGCCTCAAGGATTATGATTGTGAGGATGGTGCACAAGTGGGCAGTGTTTTATTCTGTTGTACATAGGGTCGCTACGAGTCAGAGCTGAACTAGATAGCACCTAACAACAAACAGCGTATATTGTATGTGCTGAACAGTTTGTTTTTCTCCTTTCTCCAACGTATAAATAATGCTGTGTTGAACATTTCTTTCCTAATTATCTACTACATGCCAGGGCCTGTTATAAGAGCAAGGAGCTCTGGTGGCACTGTAATAAGGCATTGGGTTGCTAACCAAAGGGCTGACAGTTCCAACACATCAGCTGCTCCATGGAAGGAAGATGGGGCATCTGCTTCCATAAAAATTTGTAGCCTTGGCAACTCTATGGGGGTCACTGTGAGTCAGAATCAACTCAATGGCAGTAGGTTTAGTGGGTTATATATACATCAGCGAACAAAACAAAACCAGGGAGGACAGGGAAAAGATACAACTAATAACAAATAAATAAATAAATGTAGTACATCAACCCACCGCCATGTAGTTGATTCCAACTCACAGTGATCCTTTAGGACAGAGCAGAACTGCCCCACAGGATTTCCAAGGCTATACATCTTTAAGGAAGTGGACTGCCTCGTCTTTCTCCTATGAAGCGGCTGGTGGATTTGAACCGCTGACCTTTTGGTTAGCAGCTGGATGCTTTAACCAATATGCCCACAGAGCTTGCCTTATGGGGGCAAAAACAGCAGAGTAACGGGGAAGTATAGAGTTGGTTTGGGGTTGCTGTTATGGAGTTGGCCCCCAATTCATGGTGACGCTATACACAGCAGAGCAAAACACAGCCCAGTCCTGCAATAGCCCCATGATTGGGTACAGACGAGGCTATTGTGATTCACAGGGTCTTTTTTTTTGTTGTTGTTGTTATGTGTTGTCGAGTCGGACCTGACTCATAGCGACCCCTCCTTGGGTTTCCGAGGCAGTATCACTACAGAAGTAGATTGCCCAACCTTCCTTCCGAGGGGTGGCTGGTGGGTTTGAACTGCCAGCCTTCTGGTTAGCAGTCAAATGCCTTAGGCACAATGCTACCAGAGCTCCCACTGGGTTTTTAGTGACTGAATTTCTACAGTATATTGCCAGGTCTTTCTTTCTAACTTTAGTCTGAAAGCTCTGTTGATACTTGGTCAGTATTATAGCAATACTCAAGTATCTGATGAAAGACAGGTGTAGCTGCATATGAGGAGCACTGGCCAGAAAGTGAACCTGAGTCTCTATCATGGATGGCAAAATTCTGCTTCTGAAGCACCACTGTGCCATACGCCTGGCTTGGGAGAGGAGAATGCAATTTACATTGCAAGGGAGGCTTCATGCTGAAAATTGGCTTTTAGATGAGCAGGATTTGAACAGAGAGAAAAGGTGGAAAGGGGAATCATTGGAGACAGCTAGCAAAACACCAAAATCCATTAAGAAAGAGTTTGGTAAAAGCTAGCAAGCTGCCATCTAGATGCAATGATGGGTCTCTCCTCGTCCAGAGCAAAGAAGAATGAAGAAAACCAAAATTCACGGAAACAATTAGTCCTGGTGACTGGTACACCATCTGATCTGCAGCCTATATGACTATGAGACCAGAAGAACTAGATGGTGCCTGGCTACCAATGTCATCCACTTGGAAGGGGATCTATGTAGGAGATCCTTGATAGAGAGGGACAGCAATGTGGAACGAAATCAAAATCATTTGGGGAAAAAAAAATAAATAAATAAAGGGGGACCAGGTTTGCTGGTCCGATAGAGCCTGGTGGAATAGCTGAGACTATAGCCCCTTGCTACCCTTCAGGTCTGGAATTGAACCCACACCTGTGGTTTCCAGCCAAACAAAAGACAGGCATATGAGTTCAACATTTATCTGAGGTAGATACACTCCTTGGAGAGAACAATCATGGGAGAAAGAAGGGCTGCTTATGCACAGGGAGACAGCTCAGGGGGCAGGAGTGCACCGAGGGATGGGCACTGGGAAGAGGTAACTGTGGGGAGGAAGTGGGAGGGGAGCTGTTGCATTGTGGTAAATTGTGGTCAATGTCATGAGACAAAGTATATGTGAATTGCTGTATGGAGAGTGAATTTGCTCTGTAAATCTTGACCCAAATCACAGTAAAAAAAAAAAAAAAAAAAAGAGAGAGAGAGAGAGTTTGGTATAGTTAAGGGGTTCATATTTAGGAATATAGAAAAAAATATCTTAAAATCTCTAAAATAAGCTTCAGGAAAGCAGAAGCTTTTTAAATTTTAAAAATATAACCCCACTCTCTACAGTTATACCTTGAACATATATTTGCTGAATTAATGAGTGAAAGACTAGTATAGACCAGGGATTTTCCATGTATGGTTCACAGACCAACAGAATCATCATCAGATGGGAATTTGTTAGAAATTACAAATTCTCTGGCATTATTCTAGATGAACTGAATCAGAAATGCTGCAGATGGGGCTCAGTGATCAGTGTTTTAAGGAGTCTTCCAGATGATTTTGTTACTTTTGAAGTTCTGAGAAACACTAGTATAGACCAAGGAAATACTGTCTGATATAGGGAGGGAAGATGAGTCCTTCAGATGTGAAGGCATTCAAAATATGACTTGGGAAGAGTTGCCTCTTCAAAGTAGAGTTGACCTTAATGATGTAGATGGAGTACAGCTTTCTGGACCTTCATTTTCTGATGTGGCACAACTCAAAATGAGGAGAAATAGCTGTAAACATTCGTTAATAACTGGAACATGGACCGTATGAAGTACTAATCTAGAAAAAACGGAAGTTGTCAAAAACGCAATGGAATGCTTAAAGATCTATATCCTAGGCATTAGTGAGATGAAATGGACTGGTATTGGCCATTAAGTATCAGATAATCATGGAGTCTATTATGCTGAAAATGACAAATCAAAGCTGAATGGTGTCACATTCATCATCAAAGAGTATTTCAAGATCTGTCCTAAAGTACAATGCTGTCAATGATAGGATAATGTCCATACACCTACAAGGAAGGATGACCAGTTAATATGGCTATTGTTCAAATTTATGCACCAGCCACTAAAACAAAAGGTAACAAAATTGAAAGAACTGAAGACTTTTACCAACTTCTGTAGTCTGAAATTGACCAAACATGCAACTGAGATAGATGTATTGGTATTTACTGGTGACTGGAATGCAAAAGTTGGAAACAAGGGCCTTCACCTAGCCTCTAGAGCTTGGCACTTTGAATTCAAACTTCTAGCCTACTAAACTGTGAGAGAACAAACTCTTGTTTTTGAAAGCCACCCATTTGTGCTATTTTCTGTTAGAGCAACACTAGAGAAGCAAAACAGATGCCTACCTGGGTTTTATTGACTATACATAGGCACTCAACTGTGTGGATGACAATGGCTTATGGAAAACATTGCAAAGAATGGGATTTCCAGAATACTTAATTGTGCTCATGAGGAGCCTGTAAATAGAGTAAGAGGATGTCATTCAAACAGAACAAGAGGATACTGTATGGTTTAAAACTAGAAGGGTATATGTCAGGGTTGTATCCTTTCACCATAATCAATATGTATGCTGATCAAATAATTCGAAAAGCTAGCCTATATGAAGAACATGGCATCAGGACTGGAGGAATACTCATTACCAACCTGTGATATGCAGATGACACAACCTTGCTTACTGAAAATGAAGATGATGTGAAGCATTTACTGATGAAGATCAAAGACTATAGTCTTCTATATGGATTATACCTCAACATAAACAAAGTAAGTTATCTTCATAACTGGAACAATAAGCAACATCCCCCAATAAACTGAGAAAAGATGGAAGTTGTCAAATATTTCATTTTACATGGATGCACAATCAATGGCCATGAAAGCAGCCTTCAAGAAATCAGTGGTTAAATTCCTTTGGGCAAATGTTCTGTTAAAGTCCTCTTTAAGGTGGTTAAGAGGAAAGATGTCAGTATGAAGACCAGGATGCCCCTGATTCAAGTCATGGTATTTTCAATAGCTTCTTATGCATGTGAAAGCTGGACAATGAATGACTAAGACTGAAGAAGAATTGATGCATTTGTATTGTGGTATTGGTGAAGAATACTGAAAATACCATAGACTACCAGAGGAACAAACTAATCTGTCCTGGAAGAAGTACAGCCAGAATGCTCCTCAGAAGTAAGACTGGCCAGCCTTCATCTCACCTACTGTGGTCACGCTGTCAGAAGGGGCCAGTTCCTGGGGAAGGATATCATGCTCGGCCAAGTAGAGGGTGAGTGATAAAGGCCAAGACTCTCAATGAGATGGACTGACACAGGCACTGCAACGATGTGCTCAAACAGAGCAAGGATAGCGAGCATGGCACTGGACCGGGCAGTGTTTTGTTCTGTCGTTCACAGGGTCTATGAGTTGGTGCTGACTGCACACCACCTACTACCACCACCACTAACATATGTATCCTCATGTCTCTGCCTCAGATTACCATGTCCCTCCTGTCTTTTTCTCTAAATCCTATCTTTCTTTCAAGATCGTTTTGTGTTCTCTCTCCTCCTAAAAGTCTTCCTGATTGATAGACTCTCCAGTGATGTTTCCTCTTATTTAAATTTTCTCATGTTAAGCACATATATTAACAGAAACCTAAATTGTTACTTTGACTAATAAATTTTTCACTCACAGTATGATAAGCACTGAAGACAAGGAAAATGTCACACACTTAGTATAATGTCTCACACCATTAGGTGTTCAATGAATGCTTGTCATTAATGACAACTGACAATTCTAGTATCAAACATGCATTTTAATAAATTTTGAAAAACATTATATTGGGAACAACATGTTCTGCTTTATTTTTAAAAAATATATTTTAAACAAGAAAGTCACTTACTTTTACCAATATCTCTTTTACAACTTGACTGCTATCATTATGAACGCTGATATAACTGGAAAAGGTTTCACCCAGAAATATATTCCTGTAAATAAAATAAATTTTTAGGTAAAAATCCATTCAATTTGTATCACAAATACACTATTTAAGTAACTACGAGAACTTCAGATGGATAAAAATTTATTAAATTATAGAGAGCAAGTAAAATACTGCTTCAACATTCCTTTGTTTACAATAGGTCACTCATTCAGTACCTAATTAGCAATAAAAAATATGGACTTAATCTGTAAAACATGAAATATCATGACTGTCAACTGGTGCAAAAACTGCCTGTTCCCATAATACAATAATCCTGGAAATCAGATTTATGTTAGGAGTTTAAGTTTTGTATCTGAAGAGGCCAGAAGAAAGTAATTTTTTCATTTCTGAAATAACTTAATGCCCTGAATCTAGAAGAAACCCAAGCTACTGATCTTTAGAATAATAGGGCTACTTTTATCAATTTGTTTTTGTAAGATATCCTGATAAAATAATGACCAGTGGCTTTATATAGTTTTATATTTTTTTTAATATTGAATATATCTCCAAGTGTTCAAGACATTTATCAATGACCACATTCTAAAATCTTTTTTTTTAAAAAAGGGAAAAACCTTGAAAATTCTTTTTCACCTCAAATTCTCTGAGAAGTAAAAAGAGCAAAACCAGGGGCTTCTACCACATCAACAATCTAGGATAAAAGGACAGCTAAAAGTAAGAGCTGATAATTAGCTAACAAATTTGATTTTGTGAGGTTATATACAACAGCTACTTATGAAACACAAATTTAGATTAAATCAGTTAAAATAAAAGGAATACATGGCCAGTCAAATGCCTTACGTATTATGCTACCAAACCAAAAAACCAAACTCACTGCCATTGAGGCGATTCTGACTCATAGCAACTCCCTTTGGGTTTCTGAGGCAGTAAATCTTTATGGAATTAGATTGCCCAGTCTTCTTTCCACAGAGCAGCTGGTGGGTTTCAATTGTCAACATTCTGGATAGCAGTCAAATGCCTTAGGCACTATGTCACCAGAGCTCCTTATAAAATAGCTATCACCCATTAAAAATATAAAAAGATTTAAAGAATAAAGTTAAAATTCTACGACTTTGGGAAGCACAATTAACATTTTAGTTTATATACTCTTACTCTTCACTTATCAACTATCTCGTTATCTGAAATTTCACATCAAAAACAATATTAACAAATATATTATCCAATTATTTTGCAATGTGATGAGTACGGTTATGTGTCAACTTGGTTGGGCCATGATTCTCAGTGGTTTGGCAGTATAAGTAATGATGCAGTTAGATATCCTTCATTTTTGCATAAAACTGATTTTCTCATAACAACCTGGTCTTTGGGACCTAACCATGTCAATAAACAAGGACTAGGTGTATATATTTTAAAGAAAATCAAAATAACATAGAATAATTTTTATAAAACTTTTCTACCACTTAAACGTATCATGAGCATTTTTCCATCCCATAGTTATTTTTGAAACATGATGTAACAATTTTATGGTACTGTTGCATTTCTTATGTGAATATTATCATTCTTACCCAAAATTCTGTGGTAAAGTCAACATTTCTCCCAACATTAAAATTTCGGCACCACTTACAGTCGAAGGATCATCTCTCATGAGTTGGTTAAAGAGATCTCCTGTAGCAATGGGAAAATATAAAATTCTAATACCTACCTTGCAAATAAGTTTTATTTACATACAGAAATATGTAGTTAGGAGAGATACTTCATAAAACTAATCTCTCAAAATAAATTATATTTCAAAATATTTAATTTCTAATAAACAGGTGCCAAAAAATTCTGGTCTCACTGCAAACCAACACTTTAGAAACAGAGGAAAAGGTAGGGAATGAGATACAAAATATATCATGGTGGACTTCTAGTAAGATGGCAGAATAGGCAGATAAACTACACACTCTTCAACAAAGAAAAGAGAAACCAATTGATACAAATACAGAAAATAATCCCGGAGCCCTAAGCTTTGAAAGGAAGAATACAGAAGCAGAGTGAATACCAACTAGTAGAAAAACCTGAATGAAAACAGTGAATAAGGAGACAAACAGAGCTCCGGACTGTCAGCTATCCTGATGGCATGGAAAGCCTGAATATTTCCAAGTGGTGTTAGGACCTGAGAATTAACTTAAAATCAGCCCTGCTCACCAAGGGCTGCATGGATGACTGCACTGGTGGCTGAAGACTGAAAAGGGAAACAGCAAAGAAGGACTCAAATTGAGCTGTGGATTTTTGGCTCTCTAGTGGGCACAACCATTTTGAATGTTTAAAAGTGGTGGCCATTTTGGATATTTAAAGCAACTGCATTCTCTGGATTACAGAGAATTCTGCAACAACTGGAAAGGAGACAGGTGGTGAGTGCCTAAGTGCTACCAATTAGTGAACAGAGGAACAGAGTACCCTGCTTACACAGATAACATCCAAACAAAACAAAGAAAATGAAAATCTTGGGCAAATAACTCCAAAATACAATCACCAATTAAATATAAACACAAAAATGTCACAATGCCTCAGAGACAACACACAACTGCAGTACACACAAAGAAGCAAAATAAAGCAGTAGAAACAAGGGACCCAGATACACACCCAGGGGACATCCCTGAGGCAGCATTGGAACTCCTTGATAAGAAATGCAAAAGAATTATATTTAGGTACCTTCAACAGTCTGAGAGACAGATCAAGGAAAACAATAACAAAATTAAGGAAAACATAGAGAAAACCCCAGAACAATTTCATAAGATAATACAAGAATAAAATGACAAAATAAATGAAAAATTAGAAATGATACAAAATCTACAGAGAGAAACCCAGAAGATTAATACTAAATTTCAGAAACAGATAACAGTGAATGAGCAAAGGAGTAGAATTAAATCAATGGAAGGCAGAATTAGTGAGACTGAAGACAAATACCTGAATACTTCTGTGGAAAGGGATCAATCAGAAAAAAGATCAAAACAAAATGAAGAAAGCCTAAAGTTCATGTGGGATACCAGCAAAACGAATAACCTACATGTAATCAGAATTCTAGAACAGGACAAGACAAATAAAACCAGAGAGAAAATTGTCAAGGATTTGTTGGAAGAGAATTCCCAATACAATGAAGGACGAGAATATACCCATTCATGATGTCCAAGGAACCCCTAACAGGATAGACACCAAAAGAAAATCACCAAGACATATCATTATCAAACTAATCAAAACCAAAGACAAATAAAGAATCCTGAAAGAAGTACAGGAAAAATGAACAGTTACCTACAAAGGGCAACCAAAAATGACTGGGTAAGAGAAGAAATAAAAAATGAATTAGAAAATGCCTTGAATAAAACAGGAATGAAAACACAACATATAAAAATCTTTAAGACAAAGCAAAAGCAATGATCAGAGGCAAATTTATAGCAATAAATGCACACATCAAAAAAGAAGAAAGAGCCAAAATCAACACCCTAACCAACAACTGCAAAAATTAGAAAAGAGCAGCAAAAAAAGCCTACAGTCACCAGAAGAAAATAAATAATAAAGATTAGAGTAGAAATAAATGAAACAGAAAACAGAAAGACAGTAAAAAAAAAAAATCAACAAAACTACAAGTTGTTTTTTTGAAAAGGTTAAGTAAAATTGACAAACCAGTGGCAAATTTAACAAAGGAAAAGATGGAGAGAACACAAATAACAAAAGAATAAGAATCTAATTGGGTGACGTCACAACAGAACCCATATAAATTAACAGGATAATATCAGGATACTATGAATAATTAAACTCCAACCAATGTGAAAATCTAGAAGAAATGGACAGATTTCTAGAAACATACAACTTACCTAAACTAACAGACTGAGGTGGAAAACTTGAACAGACCCATAACAAAAGAAGAAAATGAACAGGTCATAAAAAAAATTACCAACCAAAAAAAGCCCCGGCCCAGAGGGTTTCACTGGAGAATTCTACTGAACACAGAACACAGAAAGGAGAACACAGAAAAGGATGGAATCCTCACAAATTCATTTTATGAACCAAGCACAATCCTGATACCAAAACCAGGCAAAGATATCACTAAAAAGCAAAGCTAGAGACCAATATCCACCATCAATATAGATGTAAAAATCTTCAACAAAATACTAGCCAACAGACGTCAACAACATATCAAAAAAAAATACATTATGACCATGTGAGGTTCATACCAGGTATGCAAGAACGGTTCAACACTAGAAAAACAATGTTATCCATCACATAAATAAAACAAAGGAAAAGAACCATATGATCATATCAATCTATGCAGAAAAGGCATTTGATAAAATCCAACATGCATTACTGATAAAAAATAGGAATAGATTTCACCCAAATCACAATAAAAACTTAAATGAGTAAAAAAAAAAAAAGGAATAGAAAGAAAATTCCTCAACATAACAAAGGGCATAAATCAACAGCCAGCATTATTCTCAATGGAGTGAGACAGAAACCATTCGCCTTGCAAACAGGAACCAGACAAGGATGCCCTCTATCACCACTTCTATTCAAGACTGTATTTGTATTGGAAGTCCTGGCCAGAACAATAAGGCAAGAAAGGGAAATCAAAGGTATCCAAATTGATAAGGAAGAAGTAAAACTATCCCTATTTGCTGATGATATGATCCTATACATAGAAAACACAAGAACTCAGGAAAAAAAAACAACAAAACAAAACTACTGGAACTAATGGAGAGATTTAGCATAGTGGAAGGGTACAAGATCAACATGTAATAATCAGTTGGATTCCTCTACACTAGCAAAGAGATTGCTAAAAAAAGAAATAAGGAAATCAGTATTATTTAAATCCCCCAAAAATCAAACTCACTCCCTTTGAGGCGGATCTGACTCATAGCTACCCTGCCTTGGTTTTTGAGGTGATATCACTATGGAAGTAGATTGTCCAACCTTCCTTCTGAGGAGTGGTTGGTGGGTTTGAACCGCCAGCCTTCTGGTTAGCAGTCAAATGCCTTGGACACTACACCACCAGAGCTTCCATCATTTACAATACACACTGCCATCAAGTCGGACCTGACTCAACAACCTCTCTTTGGGTTTCCAAGGTGGTATCATTATGGAAGTAGATTGCCTAACCTTCCTTCCAAGGAGTGGCTGGTGGGTATAAACTGTCAGCCTTCTGGTTAGCAGTCTAATAGCTACCAAACAAAACAAACTAACAAAATTTGGGAATAAATCTCACTAGGGACACAAAATACCTGTATAAACAAAGCTACAAAATACTGCTTCAAGAAACCGTAAGAGTTCTACATAAATGAAGAACATGGTATCATGCTCATGGATAGGAAGACTGAACATGGTGAAAACGTCAATAGTACCCAAAGCAATCCTAATCCAGATCCTAGCAACATTCTTTATGGATATGGAATAACCAATCACTAATTATGTATAGAAGAAAAAGACCTCAGATAAGCAAAGCACCACTGAAGAAGAACAAAGTAGGAGGTCTCACACTCCCAATCTCAAGACCCACTATATAGCTACACTAGTCAAAATAGCTTGGTATTGATACAATGACAGACACGTAGACCAGTGGAACAGAATTGAGAACCCAGAAATAGATCCATCAACCTATGGTCAGCTGATTTTTGACAAAGGGCTGAAATATAGTAAGTGGGGAAGACACAGTCTCTGTAACAAATGGTGTTGGCAAAATTGGAGATCCATTTGCAGAAAAATGAAAGAAGATCCATACCTTGCAGCATACTCAAAAACTAACTGTAGATGGATCAAACACTTAAATGTGGAACCTAAAACTATAAAGTAGTTCCTCATGAAAAAAAAAGGGGCAAATTTAGGTGCCCTAATTTATGGCATAAAAAGACTGTCAAGGATAAGCTAAAATGCACAAACAGCAGAAGATAAACTAGACGAATGGGACCTTCTAAAAATTACCTCAAAAGACTTCTCCAAAAGAGTAAAAAGAGAATCTATAGATTGGAAAAAAACATTCAGCAACGACATATCTGAGACTTATCTCTAAAAATATATAGAAACCTCCAACACCTCAACAATAAAAAGACAAAACAATCCAATTCAAAAATGGGCAGAAGATGTGAATAGATACTTCACCAATGAGGATATTCAGGCAGCCAACAAACACATGAAGAAATGTTCATGAACCTCAATAACAAAAAGACAAACAATCCAATTAAAAAATGGGCAGAAGACATGAATAGACACTTCACAAAGGAGGATATTCAAGCGGCCAACAAACA